CCTCTACTGGAATATTGTCTGTTTGTGCAGATTTATCGCTCTTGATTTGTCTGATGGCCATTGTGATTTCTTCAACTGTTGATGGGCCAACAGTAGTTGGGAGGTCTGTTAGCGCTGCTTCGATGTTAGGTGGGTTCGGTGGTGCTGGTCAATTCAAGAGTTCTTTAAAGTGCTCTTCTTACCCTTTTCGCTGTTCTTTAAGGTTCATGATTACTTTATTTTCCTTGCTTTTCACTATTCGTTCCGGTTCATGATAATTTCCAGAGAGCTGCTCTGTTGTATCACACAACTGTCTCATGTTTCCTTCACTTGCAACCTTTCTGGCATCACTGCTAGATCCTCCACGTATTTACTTTTGTCGGTTCTGATGCTCCTCTTCGCCTGCTTGTTTACTTCTGTGTATTCAGCTTGTGCCTTGATTTTCTCTGCCCTTGTCTGGCTGATACTGATTGGTGTCTTCTTGTTCCTCCTTCTTGAATCATATTCAGTGCATCAACAGTGATCCATTCCTTGTGATGGTGCTCCTTGTGGCCCAGAACCTCATGACATTTTGAAGTGATTGCCTCTTTGTTCCCCTTCCAGTTGCTCTCCATAGTAGTTCTCTCTTTATTGGGTACATCGTGACAGGCCTGTAAAGTATTGCTGAGGGCTGCCATGAATTCGTTCAGTCTGTAAGTACCCCAAAGAAAAGCCGTATTATACTTTCGTGATGTTGTCCACCCCGTTGTCCAATTTCATCTTGGCAATCAACAAGTGATGAACTGATGCTATATCAGCTTCTCTCTTGGTTTTCACGTCCTTCATAGTCCTTCTGAACTTTTTATTGATGCAGATTTGGTTCTGAGTAATGTGATCCGGTGAAATCTTTGTGGATTTGTTGATGCATTTATGTGGGAATATGGTGCTGTCTATGACCAGTGTGTTGGAGGCACATAGGTTTTCAAATCTCTCACCATTTTCTTTCCTATCTCATAGTCAGTCTATGTCGTCCTGTGATGTCTTCATATCTGGTGTTGTTCATTCAAACCTTGGCATTTAGGTCTCCCATCAAAATGGTCAAGTACTTTTTGGGATATTTCTCGACGATTGACTGAAGCCTATCGCGGGATTGTTCTTTAATGTCCTCATTGTAATCGTAGGTAGGCGCATAGCATTGGATGACATTGATCGTAATGCCCTTTGATGATCCTGGGTCCATGAGATTCTAATGCTATAAGTGCTTTTTTGTTTGTTTGGATAGCATCAGAACAACTCCCTGTGTATTCGAAGCATTTTCTTCTTCGTCGCAGGAGTATGATGGCAGCACGTCTGGAGCTAGTTTTTGTTGTCCCACCTCCTCCCAATGTGTTTCACTGATTTTAAGCAACTTCAGGCTGTATGTTTTCACTTCTGAGGCAATTTGCATGACTCTGCCGGTCTCCTACATCGTAAAAACGTTTCATGTACGTAAATTAGTGGTTGCTCTGATTGTCAGAATGGGCATCAGCCTCGTGACGTTCGAAAGGATTCGGCTTTCACCATCTACAAAATAAATTGTACCAAACAAACACTACATCAAGCAAAGCGGACGCTCCCTCCACCTACGCCTACATGAACATCAATTAGCAGTCAAACGCCATGATATCTCTTCACTTATATCAATACACGTGGATAACTACGGACATTCATTCGATTGGGAAAATGTAGAAATCTTAGACAGAGGAAACTCCAAAAACACCAGAGAATTTTTAGAAGCTTGGCACTCAGGTCAATCAGCAATCAACAAACATATTGAAATCAATCCAATTTATCAACCAATCAGGAAAATCATGCATAAATATAGGAACAAATATCAAACCAATGGGAGACACAACCAAAATAAAGAAGTAAACAATGATAAATTTAAGGTCAACAAGAACCAATCAACATCGAGGTGCACAGAACAAGCTGCCAAACACATATGGAGAAATTCGAACACTTCACTTCTATCTGAAGTTTGTGCTGATGATGTCGTTCAGAAGAACGATGAAAGCTCCACGACCAAACCATCCAGCTCAGAGAACAAATCACCACCGAAATCATCCACCTGAGCTACAAATCTTCTCCACCATCTCGAACTTGGGATCGTCAGTGACCCAAGAGGGGCTCCAAGCGGAATTTGGAGTTAGGTCTAAGTTGACATTTTTAGGAGGATGGACACCATATACATTGGGATCACTTTCTTCCGGGTTTTGATCTTTAAGAAATCCAGGATCTTTTCAGTGGTTAAGATCATGAGTCAGTTGAAGCTAGACCACCATGGAAAACCTGGAAGCACTGGACGGCTGTTTCATCCTATTGTGAGAATCCTCAGCAGTGCGCATCCACGACCTCGCCCCCTGCGCGTCTCGAACCCAGGGCCTACTGGTTTCGCGCGCCAGAGTACTCAACCACTAGACCACTGAGCCGGCATCCAACAGTTTCAATGTCTAACTTCAACTAATCCACGAAATTGAGCGACACATCCACCGTTATCTTCAGTGAGTTGCTATCTCACAACAGATCTGGCTGAGCTCCACTGGTCACTACGTCTCACTAGAACTCCAGGATATATCTCTTGAAGCCGGTCACTGGCGAGTGTATGTTGACTGATACCAGATGGATTTTGTGGATATTATAGTAATTTCAGTGGTTAAGATCATGAGTCAGGATAGTTTATGAATGGTGGTACATTTGTAAAGCCAGAGGTCTTCTTGGAATCGGTCTCAATTTTATGACCTTTGTGACTATGATGCGTTTGGGAGTTTGATGCTAGTTGTCTGTGATTAGCTCTTCCTGCTTTTTGTTGACATGGTGTTCTGTCAGGAAGAATCTTATAATCCTTGAAAATCTGTTTTGTCTCATTGAATTAGAGAAAGTCAGAGACTCACTGGCGTCAGCAGACGAGTTGAATTTGATCAGGATCGGTGAGCACACACCAGGGTGACTTTTTTTTAATTCTGTGCACACATATTGTACTTGTGTCATCTCGCTGGCTCTAAGCAGATTAGACTTGGTATTTTAAGGGCATATGTTTCCGGCATATTAAACATAATTGCATTGCTAGGTTGTCTGGGTGGAGTATAATTTATGGACGACGACTGCGCGACGTCAGAGTGACCTTGAGATTGTCTACCTACTTACTAGGGCAAAATGAGTGTTATGAAGCAATTGAAGAATAAGGATTATTAGGGCTAGTAATTAGATTTGTGGTTTTCCATCACGAACTGATATTAGCTAAAATGCCAAGAAGCTATTTAAACATATAGATGAGTGAGCTTCGCGCCAAAGTCCGAGACTTTTTACCCTAGATCTGATTGGTTCGTCCATAAATTATAATCTCGCCGATCATAATATCCTTTGAAACACCTCTGAAGCAACACGATATGGGAAACTATTTATGTCATTCGTCTGGAATCCATGCGAGGTCGGGGTTGACGAGGTACTTAAGCGGATTGAGAATGTTTATGCCGACTCGCAAATTTCTTATATCATCCATAGGGTCACAGTAGTGATTATCATCATTATTTACCAATAGAATCTTCAAGATGTATGGAATGGAGAGAGCTGGCATAAACGCGTCTGCTTCTGGATGAACGGGGTAGCTCGTCTCATTGAAACTGCCAGAAATCGAGTCAGCAGTCGTATTATATAGTATCTTTTTCCCACATTTGGCTGGACGCCTATAAACAGAGGCCTTCCTTTTCTTTTGTGACATGATAAGAAAGTTATAAGTAGCAGGTGGACTGAACAAAATGTCAGAAATAGAAATGGGTGAAAAAATCAAGGCCGAGGGCTGAAGATAGCTTAGAAATCAAGACCTCTGTTTGAAACAAGAGTGAATGTATTGTGAGTATTAGTAAAGATGTCAAAAACAAGAGGGGAGAATGGCAGGAAGACTTTATTAGAGATGTAGAATGTGCGTCAGTACATTTGTGGAGGCAAAATAGGACATAAACGTGCAGATTGGGTCAATTTTAACATGTATATTACGCGGAAAGATAATCTTATATAAAGAAGTAATCTGGAGCTGCCGATAAATAGTATCAAATAATAAAAGTGAGTACGGTATGTGGTACATATAAAAACTGAAGGCCAGCATTAATTAAAATTAGGGGTAGTGGTGCAGACATATGTAGTTTCAAAGACGAATATCATCTAGAATTATTATGATGCTTTGTGACCACATACAAGAAACAACCTTTTAGGTGCTTTATGGGCACAGTCTAACCTGTTTGTTGGATTTATTGCCCTTTTTACCTGCGTTTTCATCCTTCTTTAAGTCGATTCTGTGAGTTGGAAGATTTTCCTGCCATCCATTCATGTTAATATCTTGAAGAGTGTATGAATGTAATTCTACAGTACTGCCTTACTAGCGGCACAAAGCCTCTTCGGTTTTTAAGAAGGGTCATTGTGACACAACTCTCAACACACCTATTTTACTCTGGTGTGGGACTGGCAGTAACTGTGTACAGGTTCCAGGTGGAATTGTAGAACGATATAAGAACCATGTAGTTCAGTTGATGCCAATGAGTCCTAGATATTGTAAATACCCTGTGTAGCGTTTCGTAACCTGGATGAAAATGTGTCCAGAATATTGTGCAATGTATATGTAAGACTGTATCTGACATGCAAGTCGAGACGTCCTAACCTAATTCCAATACTTGACAGTAGGTTAAGTTCTAGTGTAATGATAGTTTACTTCGACGAATTGATAACCTTTGGTTACACCAATAGTTCTATTTCTCCTCCATTTATGAACAGTAATCTAAGAACATATTCTCAGAAAGTTCGAAAATTAAAATGTAGTTCATGTCTGGAGATTGGTTTTCTTATTTATACATTAATTACTCTAGTTCTTGGATAGAATAGGTTCTATTCACAGGTTTTGTTAATAAATCCAAACAAAGGTTTAATATTTATAGTTATGTCATCTGTGAGCAGTAACATAGGTTACTCAACCTTATATTTTTGCTCGTAGACATTGTCCACTGAGTTTTTGGCGCTTGCTTGACTTGGTGCGGTGTTGTTGCAGATGGCTTTGCGATTTCGAATTCTCATTTAAGGTTTAAATATGTTGCAAATTACACATATTTCTTACAAAACAGTTGATTTTGGAGCGATCGGGTTTGTTGACCGAGAATTTTAGGTTCGATGATCATATACACACCCATGCCTTGCTGTCCGCCTGGAACATCTGTATTTGACGTCTCTTACCTTGCCAGTACTACCACCATCACCACTGTCATTGTTGTTTGTATTAATATAATAGGCTCATTTCGATTCACCTCTGTCATTCTTGGACATCTGTTCACATCTTTTTCATGTACCATTCTCTTCTCTCCTCTATATTCAGTTTTATAATCTCTCATTTTACAACTCAATCTCCTGTACGTCGACATGATGTTCCATGCTCTTAGCAACCTGAATGCTACAGAAAAAACTCACTAATTTATGTTCAAGTGCTATTCCTCTTGTATGTAAATGACCTTCCTTGTCTCCTATCATCATCGGTCTTGCTATATGCTGACGATGTCAAGATATGGAGAACGATACGATGTAAGAGTAATAGCTTAAAACTTCAAAATGACCTGAAGAAGTTATCTGAATAGTTTCAAACCTGGTAGTTGCCGATAAATACTTCCAGGTGTGTTGTGACACATATTGGTCATCAAGGTACAGATACATACATGATGAATAACACTGAGCTACCTGTCGTCCAGACATATAATGACTTAGGAGTTATCGTTAGCAAAGACCTAAAGACTACTGCACATCGTCGTGCAATAGCCACCAAAGGTCTTAGAACCTTATGGTCAGTATGTAGGGCTTTTAGTCATGTCGACGCCAAGACGTTTTTGACTTTGTACACAGTGTTCGTACGTCCTAAACTTGAGTACTGCATACAAGCGGCTAGCCCCTGCCTTAAAAAAGACAGTGAGCTTCTGGAAAAGGTTCAGAGAACGGCAACTAAGCTGATTCCCGGGATAGCGAAGCTTCCGTATGAATCTCGACTGGCCAAGCTAAACCTTTTCCCGTTGTCATATCGCAGAACTAGAGGCGACTTGATTACAGTCTTCAAATTGCTTAGTGGCAAGTTTGCACCTGATATGCCCTCATTTTTCTTGTCTTCCAAAACAGAGAATTTACTAGGACACTCCAAAAGAGTTCACAAGCCCAGAACAAATTACCTGTCAGCTGACTACCGACTTTCCCACCGAATCATCAACGAGTGGAATTCATTACCTCAGCACGTGGTTGGGGCTCCATCCGTCGACTCTTTCAAAAGAAAGTTGAATCAACTGAGAGACCACCATTGCCAGGACTAACATAGGCCATCAAGCCTCCTATCCTTCCCAAACTGAAATTGAAACTTAATCAGCTCTCGAATTCATTAGGGTTAGTACTGTTTAGCTGCTAGACTACCCACATTGTACCATACTGAATCCTAAAACCGTATCTTAACATAAAGAAGCGTTACTGAGTACCAATCCATTAACACAAGTTCGTCATGTTGGAAGTCCACTCTCAAATCCCATGTGGGATATATGTAGGATATAATGTGAAATAAATCTCACCATTGTAGTTGAGCCTTACCTTCACAACCGATGGTTAATCTATGGTCGCTCCAATTTCGTACTTCGTGTATATCGCGCAATTTCGTTTTTCTCATACTGTGAACTCGTTTTTGCGTCGTTGTAGTTTTGGCTCACTCAGATCACTTTCACTTCATAATACCATGTAACTAAACTTACTATACCTCATAAACCTCAAAATATCTTCGCAAATTCTTTCGATTTTTCTCCGACTCTCTGGGATGCTAAGTATGTCTTCCTCTCGGTTTGCCACTTATAGTTTTTGCGTCGCTCAGTTTTAGCATAATAATATAGTGTGTATTCTCATAAAAGCAACTCAATTTGTGTGCGTAAATTAGTTTTATGGGAAATAGACTCTTTGATGTTGTGATAGATTTGGTCGCACACTGAGTAATTAGATTGTAGAAACATTTTCAAAGCGACTAAAGTATTCTCGAATTTCTAGGATCTCTATGTGCACCGCATTTCCCAACTGGTACGTAAGTATTCTGACATAAATTTCTACACATACGTACTCCTGGTGTTATAGTCCCTATTTCTGTGTACATGTCGATATATCCCGATATTTTGATATGAATGTTGGGCTCTTGAGTGTTTTTTTCATACACACCATTCGATGGTGCTAATTATTGCTGACAAGTAAATTTTTCAGTTAACCTGATACTGGCTAAGTATGCTGTCTGAAGCCGTCAGTTTCAAAAACAATCAGTGGTTGCTCTGCAACTATCAAAATGCGCGTTAATATTCAGAGTAGTCCAATTATATGTTCACAGAAAAACTAACTGGGGTACATTGGCTGTTTTCATTGTTGTTTCAGCTTCAGTTTTGAAAGGACAGGAGGCTTGATGGTCTGTGTCAGTCCTGGTACTCGTCTCGTGACAGTCACTTTATTGACATTTCTTCGACTGAGTAAGCAAACTTATTACTCGTCTTTGAATGAAATGAATAATTAATGACAACTAAATCTACAACATTAGCGAGTAAGGTAATATATGTTTATATATACATATGTAAGATCAATTTACGATTTAGTACCACTTATCGAGAGTCGCATATATACATATAAAGTTTCTGTTGTTGATAGATATGACACTTCAGACCCATTTCTTTTATCTCTAGAAGGATTCAATATGACCCAAAGGATTACTTCATGTACTGTTTCTGAAGTACCTGAACGTTTATGCACTTCCTCCATGGACGCACTACGAATCTCACCGTTTACTGATACGCTTTCCAACAAAACTGGCGATGTATGCAGAATAGAGCACACTCAGTTCGGTGAAGTTTATATTTGTAGAGTGTGTAATGTGAAATGCACCGGTAAGGCCCCATTTTCCCAGCATATATCTGGATCACATCATAGAAAAAACTGCAATGCCAGTAAGCTCCTCACTTCACATTAATAATAACTATTGTTGCTATAGTTACCTATTTCTGTAACGAGTGCAATACAAGCCTTAATTCTTCTGAACAATATACCCTACATTGCAGTGGATCAAAGCATATGCGAAATATAATTTCTTCTTCTGACAATTCTATGTCTGAACAGTTTGGAGTTGAGCAACAATTCAATAAAAGCAACAATGTTCCTTACTTCTGTATACCTTGTGGTCTTAGTTGCTCTTCCAAAGAGCAATTGGATTCTCATTTCTTAGGTAAAAAACATAAGAAGCAATGTAAAAAATATAAGCCATCTGTATCAGGTCAGCTGTCGGGGTACGTTTTGAATGAACAGTCAAATCAACCGATTGGTCAACCTGACTTTTTCTCTTCAATGCCTACTTTATTCAATACAGCTAGTGAGAATTCGCCAAACTTTTGGTTTCCAAAGTTGGTTCCTTGTATAAGAAATATCATGGAGCTGGAGTCCAAATTGACATTAACAAATAACTTTTCTCCGTTTTTGGCTTCAGTCACTCCCTGTTCATATCAAGAACAAACAGATTCAAAGAGTGATCTTTCACCCAATCAGCAGGATAGTGGCGACTCTTCTGAGCCCAAACAGTTTTGTAGACACGGTGAATGTATTCTGATGAGGTCATTACAGGTAAGAAAAAATTGATAGTAATTTGTGTTATAACTTTGACTGTTTATTTTGGAACGTTTACTATTAGTATGAGTAAATTATCAGATACATTTGATTATTGTTCACATTATTCGATCGTAACACGTGCTTGGTGCACAAAAGTACCAAGAAATGTACTACACAGTTTGGCAATAATTTAGATGAGTTAACAAATACATAAAAATTTGTTTAATACAATTATGAGAGATATTAGTGTACAACCTCAGTAGGAACAACCAAAATACGATATTTTTGCTTAAAAACAGATGTTATTAAAAACACAAAAGAGACCTACGGTAGGAATACCACGGGCTTTTCTAAACCTTGTGATAATATATGTAGTCGCTGTTATTTACTATCTTTGGATCTCACCTACAGAACCCTAATGACCCGAAAAATGCTAACATACAGCGAATAGTCTTCATTTATCTACGTCTCCATTAGCTGATAGTCTCTTTATTTCAACCCCTCTTTAACGTTTGAGGTGACGTATGTAAAGCAATTGTGCCACACGGACTTCTAGACCGTTTCCAACGGTGCATGAGAGCTAAGAATACCATTATTCTTTTGGGAGTACTGTGCATTTCGGTTGTTTAAGGTAAATACCATACTGACAAACATTGATTAACAACTGATGCTGCTTGGTTAGCTTGTATTACATCGCAAAGTAAAACGGCGTCATCCGCATACTGATTGTCAAGATGTCTTTGTCCAGGTATAAGATCTGCACTACATTATCGCATTGCACTCAAAGTTTATTATCACCTGAAGTCAAAGAGAAATACTGAGATGAGATGATCCTATCCAATCCTACTGTCGGATAGAAACATCGAAGCAAGATGATTCTGTGCCTTCACTCTGCCTGAAGTGATTTCCAAACGGGCTTGAATACTAAGGTTGCATCTCAGATACATTCTGCAACAATCGGTTTTTAAACAATCATATCAAAAGCAGCTCTATTGTTTGGAAATGACGATGATTAGTCTTCAGTGCTTTTGATAGTGTTCAAGTCACGACACGTCGGTATTTTTTTCAGCTCCGTATATGAGGACTATCTTGACGTTTGTATTAAAAAATCTGACTTTGGTGTTGGCTGACGGTTGCGTTGAGTTTAAGATGGTCTAAAACTGGAAATGTTTCCCTTGCTATGCCAATCTGTGCCTTCACATCTGCATCAGATCCCCTTTGTTTGTCAATCATGCTGCCTAGGTACCTAAAAGTTTCCACCTGATCCAGGGCTTCTTCATATATTGTGATTCGGTTGGTACTGTATATGTCATATTTTGGGATCTTTCTTTTTCCCTTTTCATATTTCTAACACACTATGTAGCACTAATATTCCGATAATTATCACATGTATTATACAGGCTGGATGGATCAGAAATATATCAATAAGAAACCTTTGAGTTCGACTCAATAAGGTAAAGGTCAAGAATATATGCCAGGAACAACTAGTGGAGTTGGTCAACCTTGAAAGTAATGTCCAACCCGAGGTAGCTTGATATGATATCTAAACAACTATGGAAGCACCTTAACTAAAAGGTTAAGAAAAACCAGTGAAATTTAGCGGCCTCTTCTGATATATACCTATTAACTCAACCCATCTGCCTCCAAACACAGTGATGGGCAGAGCCAGCTTTAACGCCGGCTGATAAAAAGGATACACAATATTCATGGAAAGTGGTGGGCAACGAAAGCGAAAGAGGTAGGAAAGACAGCGTCGATAGGTAACAGCAGAACATTATTCACTCTTAATCCAGGAGGTTGAACCGATGGGCATAACGCTTTAGGGAACAGTCCAACTAGCCTTCGACCCCACCCACCTCTAAATAACTTGAGTGAAAAATTGATGTCAATCCTCTAACTCTTAGTGAGGTTGAAACGAATATTACTTACGCCTGTTACTCCTCGTGAAGGAGCATAGGCCGCTCACCAGCATTCTCCATCCAACCCTGTCCTGGCCAATCCTTTCTAGCTCCGTCCAGTTGTAATTCATGGTTTTCATATCTGCTTCTATTATCCGACGCAATGTGTTCTTTGGCCTTCCTCTTTTTCGCTTCCCTTCAGGATTCCAAGTTAGGGATTGCCTTGTGATGCAGTTTGACGATTTGCGTAATGTATGTCCTATCCATTTCCATCGTGTTTTCCTAATTTCTTCTTCAGTTGGAAGTTGGTTTGTTCTCTCCCACAGAAGGCTATTGCTGATGCTATCCGGCCAATAGATGTTGAGTATCTTGCGTAGACAGCTATTTATAAATACTTGTACTTTCTTGATTGTGGTTGTTGTAGTTCTCCAAGTTTCAGCTCCATACAGTAGAACTGCCTTGACGTTCGTATTGAAGATTCTCACTTTGATATTAGTTGAAAGTTGTTTTGAGTTCCATATGTTCTTCAATTGTAGGAATGTGACCATTGCTTTGCCGATCCTCGCCTTTACGTCTGCATCTGAACCTCCTTGTTCATCGATGATGCTTCCCAGGTATGTGAAGGACTCTACATCTTCCAGAGTTTCGCCATCAAGTGTGATTGGATTGCTGTTCTCCGCTTTGAATTTGAGGACCTTAGTTTTCCCTTTGTGTATGCTGAGGCCTACTGATGCAGAGACTGCTGCTACACTGGCTGTCTTCATGTGCATTTGTTCGTGTGTATGGAATAGGAGGGCTAGGCCATGTGCGAAGTCCAAATCGTCTAATTTGTTCTGAACTGTCCATTGTATTCCGTGTTTTCCCTCAGATGTCGAGGTCTTCATAATCCAGTGGACCACCAGAAGAAAGAGGAAGGGAGAGAGTAGACAGCCTTGTCTGACTCCGGTTCTTACTTAGAATGCATCTGTCAGCTGTCCTCCATGCACTACTTTGCACTGTAGTCTGTCGTATGAGTTCCGTATAATGTTGACAGTCCTTTCAGAAACTCCATAGTGTCGAAGAAGTTTCCATAATGTTCTCCTATCTACACTGTCAAATGCCTTTTCATAATCAATGAAGTTTATGTACAGTGACGAGTTTCGCTCAACTGGTTGTTCGACGATGATCCGTAGTGTCGCAATTCGCCCTGTGCACGACCGATCCTTACGGAATCCAGCTTGTTGATCTCGAAGTTGGGCGTCTACTGCGTCTTTCATCCGGTTCAGAAACACTCTGTTGAAGACTTTCCCTAGTACTGACAGTAGTGTAATGCCTCTGTAGTTTTCACATTTGCTCAGATCTCCTTTCTTTGGAATCTTTATTAGGTGTCCTTCTTTCCAGTCCGTCGGCACTTGTTCCTCCTCCTAAATCTTTTTGAATAGAAGGTGAAGCATGTTTGTTGTTCCTTCTATGTCTGGCTTCAGCTGGTATGTTGTCGGGTCCTGCTGCTTTCCCGCTCTTGATTTGTCTGGTGGCCATTCTGATTTCTTCCGTCGTTGGTGGATTGACATCTATAGGAAGATCTGTGTGTGCTGCTTCGGTGTTCGGTGGATTCATTGGAGCCGGTCCATTCAGGAGTTCCTCGAAGTATCATACCCATCTGTCCCGCTGTTCTTGAATTTCAGTGATTGGCGTTCCTTCTTTGTCCTTGAGCGATCTCTCTGGTTTACTGTATCTCTCTGCTAGTTTATTGGTTGTATCATAAAGCTGTTTCATAGTTCCTTCTCTTGCAGCTTTTTCCGCCTTCGTTGCTAGTTCTTCCACGTATTTCTGCTTGTCTGCTTTAATGCTCTCCTTCACTTGCTTGTTTGCTTCTATGTACTCAGCTTGTGCTTGGACTTTCTCTGCTCGTGTTCGGCTGTTGTTAATTTCTGTCTTCTTGTTCTTTTTTTCTTTGACCCTGTCCAGTGTTTCTATAGAGATCCATTCCTTATGATGATGCTTCTTCAGGCCCAGAACCTCTTGACACACTGAAGTTAGTGCTTCTTTGGTATCTTTCCAGTTGTCCTCCATAGTAGTTTCTTCCTTCAGTAGATCCTGTAAGGCTTGGAACCTGTTGTTGAGAGCTATCTTGAATTCATTGAGTTTGTCAGTATCTCGAAGGAAGGCTGTATTCAACCTTTGTGGTGCTGTTTATCCAGTTGTCCCGTTCTTCTTTAGCTTCAGTTTTAAATTGGCCACAACTAGGTGGTGATCTGAATCTATGTCAGCTCCTGTCCTGGTTCTCACTTCTTCCATTGTCCTTCGGAGCTTTTTATTGATGCAAATATGATCCATTTGGTTCTCTGTAGTGTGGTCCGGTGAGATCTATGTAGCTTTGTGTATACATTTGCGTGGAAATATTGTGCGTCCTATGACCAATTTATTAAAAGCACACAGATCTGCAAATCTTTCTCCATTTTCATTTCTGTCTCCCAGTTCGTCCATGTCGTCCCATGATATCTTAATATTCGGTGTTGTCTATTCCGACTTTGTCATTTAGATCTCTCATCAGAATGGTGAGGTCTTTTCTTGAGCACTTCTCTATGATTGATTGTAGCCGCTCATAGAATCGATCTTTAATGTCGTCATTGCTATCATTGGTGGGTGCATAACACTGGATAACATTCACTGTAATTACCTCCCTTGCTTTGATGATTCTGGATCCGTGAGGCTTCCATCCTACAAGTGCATTTCGTGCTACCTTGGACAGCATTAGAGCAACTCGCGGAGTGTGTGGAGCATTTTCCTCTTCGTGACCGAAGTATAGCAGTATCTCTCCCGTATTTAGCCTTTGTTGTCCAGCTTGGATCCAACGGCTTTCGCTGATTCAGAGTACTGCCAAGTTGTATCTCCTCATTTCCGTCGCTATTCGACTGGTGTTCCCGGTCTCCCACATTGTCCGGACGTTCCATGTACCTATAAAAATTGTTGCTGTGGTTGTTAGAAGTGGCATCGGCCTCGTGACTTCCGAAGGAACTCGGCTTTCATCATGAGGCGTCATAGTTCTTGTAAATGAAGGCCTTCTATCTCCCAAGACAGATTTTAAATGGTTTTTTTTTTCTGGTTAGCGTTTTTTAGCGAGTTAGTTTTCTATGG